TAATATAGTGTAAATAATGAGTTATAGATATTTTCCGCTTTTGTTTATCAACTTTGTTCTAAAAAAAAAGTACGAGGGTAAGTAAAAGATTATCCACATTTTCGCCATAACTTATCTTTAGGTTTGTCACACTGCCTTCTGTTCATTCGTGCTTATAGTTTGGTACCATAGTGGTCACGAGATCGAAGTTTGAGCTTGATGACGAACAAAGAGTATTGATCTGAATCTGCAGAAAACATGCTACCTCATCGATGATAACTCGCCAGTTCGCCATCTCTCGGGTTTGCTGAATCTTTTCGCCAATGGTGGTAGGTTTGCAGGTGTCCTGCTCCTTTTTTGTTCGTCCGGTTACTATTGAACTTTTCATTCTACTCATACAACACACTTCTACACGGTAGTACACAGTCGCCGTATAGGTTTAAAAACCTCCGATGAATTTCAGACCTTCCGACCGGAGAAATCGGAACACTGCTCTTTGTTCTTCATTGGTGGACACTGCTAGCGGAGCGGCCATGTTTACAACAGTAAGTAAACTGTCGCGAGCAAGCCCAAACTTCGATCACGTGACTACAATAATGCACGCATGAGCAGAAGGCAGTGTAACAAACCATAGCAAAAGTGCGGATTAATTTTTGACTTAACCCTCGTAAATTACAATTACATTTTATTCAATTATATAATCACCACCAATTGCCATAATTTTTAACGCATATCAGACAGCTCCTTCATACCTTTTGGGTAAAAGGGTTAGGGTTAGGGGTAGGTTTTGAGGCAGAAACATTTTCAATAAACCCTTGAATCTGGCTTTCATTAGAGAAAGTTTTCCTTATCAGTGTTTTGCAGCGATCGAAAAAGATAATAATCGGTTGGCGCAAGGCCAGGTAAATATGGCGAGTGTAATAGAACAGGTCAAACAAGTTCCAAAATTTTATCCCTCTGTTATTGCGGTTGCATGCGGCCTTGAATTGTCACGGAGAACACTCGTCATTTAATCCACTGTAAACGCTGCCACTGCCGTACAAAAACTAAGGTATGATAGTGTACAACAAATTTATTCATGACTCTCACATATGATCAGTAGTTCGGATGAGACATTCGCCATTACAACTGGTTTTCCAAAATGGAAATTACTTATGACTCAATCGTATTCGGGAGTTAATTTTAGCCAAATATTCCAGCACAATACATAGGCTTATTAGTATGTCATTTGCCGCTTTACCTTCATATTGGAAGTTTGAATTAGAGTAGGGTTCATTTAATTTTATAGATGTTTGTTTTAGTACGACAAAACACACCAAAAATGTATCACTATATTAATTCATTTATTTAAAAATAATAAACTGTAGCAAATCTATACTTTATAAGTTTATTCAATAAACGATCTTTACAAAAACACGTATGTACCTTATTTACTCATGTAACATATTCAATAAGCGAGGCTTGGACACATAATGTCATGGTCGTACAAATGATTGAATTAAAGCAGATAACATAAACAGGTCGTGTATGCTAATGTGGGTGTTAGATCTGATAGATTACAAGATGTGGCGATTACTGAAGGCCGATTGATTCAATGCTACCACCATTGAAGTAACAGTAACAAGTCGGGCGGTTATCTGCAGCACATCATTCCTACAGGGACTTGAATTATCACAAAGCTACAGATGCTTATCATAACACATAACCGCTCTATGAGTATGAGTTTCTGATAGTGTTCCTAGGTTTTTTTCTTAGACCAAGATCTTGGCTAAAGTTATAGTCCCTACTTTCTTGTCTCCCGCCAACCCAGTAAGAAATGATACCAACGGCGTTTTTAACCATAAAAAAAACTATAGGCCTATTAGCCTTCTAACACTTTTTGGCAAACTACAAGAGACCCTTGATTAAATTGGTTAATAATCTCACATTGCAGAGCCCTTTTCAGGCATCATGGCTTTCGCTTCTCTAGGTCAACTACTTATATACTAACGGTTATTGCTGAAAGAGTCTATCAAGCTTTAGGTAAGACTTGTGAAGCTCAGGTTGTTGCTTTGAACATTTCGAAAGCATACAGGTCTTCACAAATTGAAAGGCTATAGTATTTCCGGGTGATTTTTTCAACTGATTCAGTCTTTCTTATCAAATTGTGAAATGTAATTTGCCCTGAAGAGACACTCTTCTAGATCTTTTTGTACTAATGCAGGTTTTCCCCAGGACTCAATCCTTGACCCTTGTTCTTAATTTTCATCAATGACCTTCCTGATGACAACAGTTCTCAACTTGACATCTATGCTGATGACAACTAAAAAAAAGGAAAAGAAGACTTAGAGTCTGTTGTTAACTGGGGAAACGAATGCTCATTTTAATGCTCCAAAATGAAACTTCTAAGATACTAACCTGGATGGGAGTGGCTCATTGTGTCTTCTGGGTTGACATGAAGTGAAAAGACTATACTGATTCCATTGCTAGGTCTGTTGCTAAGAAAGCTGGTCACTGCGTAATGTTAGACAATTTTTCTCTCCAGAATCAATCTTACATATTTACAAGTCTACCATTTGTCCATGCTTTGGATATTGCTGCCATATATGGCCTGGTACTACTACTGTACATTTAGAGATTCTTGATAAAAATCCAAAGTAATATTATTGAAGCATCTCAGCTTCAGTCACTTTCCCACTGCCATAATATAGCTTTCCTGTGCCTTTTGTATCAATACTTTCATGGTAATTGTTCAGAAAAACTCTACACTATGGTACCTAGACTTCATAAATTTAAGTGCAGTACTAGATTGGCAGAAAGGTCTCATCAATTCACAGTTGAATTGGCTAGATGTAACTGTAAGTTCTATGCTAATAGTTTCTTTTCTTACATTTCTCACTTGTGGAACTTTCTTCTGGCTCCATGCTTTGATATTAAATACAATTTTAATTGCTATCTACTGTCTTGATTACTTTTCTATTGTTCTCACTTCTTAATAATGTTTCTTTTTTATTATTCTTTCACACTCGGTAATTCCTGTGTCTTAGCTATTACTTTGCATGAGGTGATATGATTAAAAAAAAAACCCCAAAGAAACATAAAATATAGGCTAGCTAACATCAGAGTCAGTAAAAACAAAGAAGTGTTAAAATATACTTGTGACCCTTCTGTGGAGTTAGATATTGTTGGTTTGTTATTTTATAATGGCTTCCTACCTGAAAGAAATACAAGATACTAAAAATGGCAATGAAAAGAAGGGTGCCAAAATACGTTCATTTTTATTTAATGTAACAATGTAAAGCAAAAATATAACATGACAAACATGCTACTAACAGTCAATGAGGGTAGCACTCTATGAGATTACTAAAGATGCTAGGAAAATGGTTGGCTCCCTGTACTGCTCCAGTGGGTACCCGACTCCTCCTGCTATCCTCTACATTTATCAAGTCAAAAATTGAGTACTGTTGCTATATATGGGTAGGAGCTGCCCAGTCTTTACTTTTCAGTCTCGATAGTGTGTGGCAAATTATTTTCCACCCTATAATCCCTTTCTCACAGACAAAATGTCAAAAGTCTCTCACTGCTCTATCGTTATTTCCTTGGAAAGTGTTCAGACGAACTACATTCCTTTGTTCCACCAGTTCTAACCTTCATGGCTAAGATCAGCACATTATAGCAAACCACCTTCATTCCCTTCGTATTCCATTTGGGCAGTTTCTTTCTATAAACCACTGCTTTGTGGAACAGACTCCCAAGAGGATGTTTTTCATTACAATCTTAACCTGTTCAAGTTTAGGCTTAAGCATTATCTTCCCCACATATCCACATAAACTGTGCCTCTTAACCTGTAACATTCTACATTGAGTGGCTCCTGGGCTTTGTACATGGTGAATACTATTGTTTAAAAAAAGAAAAAAAAACAAAACAAAAAAAAAAACAAGGAAAATGAAAACAAACCTTTTTTTCAATAAACTTGATTCTTTATTCATGGCTATCTATGTCTGGAGGGGTAGGTAAGTGGAAGTACACGGTTTTCACTCTAGTGTCCATATCTAGTATTATATATCTTGTTGTTTGTTTTGTACTGTTCAATTAGTCCCGTTTCCACTGAGCATGAGTCTGTACTACCTGGCCCTGGGATTGAATATATGATTAACAATAATAATGACTGCTCATTTCTGAGTATGCCTATCTGCCAGGGTGGCTAACCAACCATTATTGCAGATGCCTGCTCAGGCACATTTGTGTTTGTTCAAGACCCACCTGTGGCTTATACTGCAACTATGCTGAGCAGGCCTTAGTTACAGTTTCTAGAGGAGAGGGCAGAATCCGACATTGATCAACAGTTTGAACAAGGCCAATTCAAATCCTCAGTCATGATGACTTTGTGCTAGAAAGCTATCAACAAACAATTCCATCTACCAAATTTTATTGACAAGGCCTTGGTCAACCCATGGTATAGTTTTAAGGTACTTTCCACAGGTGCTGCACATTTGGATTGCCTCCCCGAGCTGATAATATCAAGAAGTCACCTGCCTGACAAATCAAACATGGTGAGGTTCAAACCCATATCTCAGGGTTGGAAAACAAACATTCTATGCTACAAAATCTGATTAAATAAAGGATTCAATTCAAAATTCCCTGAAGGTTACCCAAATCACAAAACATTTGATGAAGGCTAGAGTGCACAATGACTGCAAGGTTATGATAACTAAATAAGATGAGGATATTAGTTTACCTAAACAATGTAAATAATGAAAACTTCTTATCCCAGAAATTCACACAGAAGGAGATCAGGTAATAATAACACAAATAAGGATATTAGTCTGAATGTAAATAATAACTTCTAATCTCAGAAATTCAAACTGAAATCGTTTTTTTTTTGTGAGAGATATTTTCGTTTTACTGTGAACAAACAAAATAAAAACCAAAGAATTTTTCATTAAAAACAAACTTTAATGAGGAAGTGCAATTTTTTAAAATTTTTTGATAAAACAATATTTTGTGATAATCTCACATTTCAAGTCAATGTTGAAAAGAAGTCAGGCAGTTGATTCTTTATTTTCCAATTCCATAATGAAGTTCCATTCTTCTGAAAATAAAAAACAGAACAAAGGAAATAAACACTATCATGAAAGCAAGAACCTTCTTTAACAAGGATCTATTCAACTTACTTTTTGCTATAGTCAGAAGAATCAAGTGGGGAGAATTCCTGCTTCCTAATTACACATTTACACAACTTATTATTTTTATAATAGTACTAGTGTGACAGTGTGGAAATGTGAAATAGAAAATGAAAGAAAACAATTGGTTGAATTTTGGGAGATTTGCATAAAACCCACCTATTTGTCCGCACCACACCAGTTGAAAGGGACACACATAAATACAAGTGCCCACATGGGCCAAAGTTAGTTGGGACCAGACAGTTGCAGTGAGGTTGCGACCGGGAGTTAAGAGATTTCTGATATAAAGCTGAATTCTTCAGTTCACTCCATGGAACTCACTTTAACTCTGATTTGGGTTATAAGTTCAATTCCAGTCAAAAGACCAATTTGGGATGAAATTAGATGTTTATTTATTTAAGAGTCAATTCACTTCTTATCCAGACACAAACTACAGGAATGAAGGATGCAAAGGAGGTCCCATTCTAATACAATAAAGGGGTCAGTTTGTCATTCCCTGGGCAAAGGTTTTCCAACAATACAATGGTAATATTAGCTGTTTCCTTATAAGGAAACATTTAGCTTTCTTTAACCAAGCCAAAATCAAGACAAAATATGCACTCACTTTCCAATAAATTTTTCAACATAATACACAGTTTATGAAATGGACAAAATCTGACAATTATTTTAAGACATTTTTATGTTTATACATTCTTTTTATAGATACAAATATTTAAGTAAATGCTCTTTTATGGAAATCTTTTTATCATGGAAGATTGAAGTTTAAAAGCAGTAAAATTGACCTTGCTAATCGAACGATCGTCCATGGCTTGATTGGTTAAGGCACGTCAGTCTAAAAGGATACAGGTTTGATTCCTGTCGGAGGATGAATATTTTCTATGAAAGTTTCTCGGACATTCAGGCTGGTAAATGTTGTTAATACTGTTTATTATAAAACATAGCATTTACTTAAATATTTGTATCCACAAAAAGAATGTATAAAAATAAAAATGTCTTAAAATAATACACATTGTTGTTAATGAATGTAATTGAATGCTTCTCCATAGATCACACATTATACAGTGAAAATAAAATTCAGCTAATAAATATCAGGCTATGGATTTATTGATTGACTACTGTACACAGATATATCAATAAGTTACTAGGTTTGTGAAGAAAAACAAAAAAGTTAGTTACATAGCAAATACATATTTTTCAGCATTATCCTTTGCCTTGCCAATTCACTTAATCACATAAACTGGACATTTGTCTTGCTTCCTACACTAGAAGAACCAACATATCCATGGGAGAAGTATGGCTCACCAAAATATGGACCTTCTTTTGTGAGGAGAAGGTTTGTGACAAATATTTTAACTGTTTCTTCAGGTGCATACAAGAAGAACAAACCACCTTTCTGAAGGTGAACAAAGTCGACAATGGTGTTGTAAGCCAACTGTTGGTCCTTAAGCAACTTTGGCTTGTTTTTGCTTCATACTGTTGAAGAGCATTGATGTCACAGGAAGTTTTCTGAATTATGCCTGTTGGAAAAGTATTTGGACTCATTCAGTGAACTTGGAGCAGGCTGTAAGTTTACAATGAATTTCTGCTCAGAGAAACAATCCAATGTTCAATGTCAATAAGCACTCTGTTTATAAATTCATCACTGAATCCTGCATTAGTTGCCCATGTTGTTTGAAGTCTTCAGAAATTTTCTCTTTGTATTTCTCCCATAAAGATACAGGATCACTGAGCTTACATGTGTGCAATAATACAGCAAAGACTTCTTGCCATTTGCATTGCAGCAGCCTTCCTGAGAATTGCATAACACTGAGCACCATATCTTCCAGTAGGCCATGTTTGAAGCAGGCCTAGTGGTACATGCTGCAAACATGCCCATTAAACCTTTTTAAGTTGTCAAAACACTTTGGATCTTTTACTTCATATAATAGAAGCCAAAAGTAGAAGTACTCCTGTTGACTGGGGTGGACAGCAATGGTCAAACTTGATGCCTAGATATCCATCAACAGTTTATCCTACCTTTCTTCATGTCCATCTGTTGTCTTTCCAAGTGTAGTATGATGGTACTTGATGGTATAGAAGGGTCTGAACCAATGAAATTCTGTCAAGGAATTGATTGGATAATTAATAGTGTTCATATGAACAGGTCAAAGGTTATGTTTGCAGTTCATCCCTTATTGTCAGGCCATGGGCATAGAGGGGGTAAGTGAGTAAATACTAAGAACGTGGTATAAGCAGACATTCACATGAATCAAGGGGCTGAAAGAGGGCATTGTTTGTATTTACATGCACAGGACAAAGGTTGTGTTTTCAGTCATCCCCATATAATCAATCAAGGCACAAAATATATTAAGGAATATGGTGGTAAAAAGGGGTGGCATTATGATCGTGGGTAGTAATAATGGAGGAGGGGAAATGAGTAAACACTAAGGATGTAGTTAAAGCAGTAGTTTACACCAAATAAGATGCTGAAGGGGGAGGGGTGCATTAATAGTGTTCATGCCCACATGTCAAACGTCATGCTTGCAGTTCACCGTGTTATCACATCATGATCAGAGTAAAGTTTAATCAGTTTAAACAAATAGCAGAGGTTTAATCAAATAAATCACAAATTTAAAGTGAATTAACTTGATACAAAATTAGTTTGAAACATTCCTTGAAGCATAAGTAACGTTTGTGTACAATTTGGAGTGAATCAGTTGGAAACTGTGAGTTAATGGAAAAAAATAATTTTATGCAGTTATTCAGATTTTTTGCAATTAACACGAATAAACTTAAAAAAATTTAATTGAAACAATTGTTGTGTCATAAGTAATGATCATGTCAAATTTGGAGAAAGTCGCTTGAAAAATTGGGGAGTTATGGGCAAAAAATTTGTTTTCTAAATAGTTTTTCATAGTTTTCCATTATATGTGGAGGTCTGGAAAAAATAATGTTGGTCTTAACCATCTTTGAAGCATAAGCTCTCAGTGTGCCAAGTTTTAGTGCAATCAATTGAAAAATGTGGAAATGTATAACGAACATAATGGCCCACAGACATCTGTTTTATATATAACACAAAATTTGTAGACACTACAGACACAGTGCTCAATGCAAGGTATATAAAATATATGCAAAAACAGAGCAAACATAAAATATGGAAAAACAGTACTTAAATTTCACTGCTGTTTGCAACTAAATGTTTCATGTGAATGTAAAAGTGGTTAATGTTACTATTACACAATCCTTAGGTAGTAAAAAAGCAATATAATACATATTAAAAGAATAGTTTTCCTGCAGCTTATATTATGTAATAAATAATAATATTAATGATGGTATCAGTAGGGGAGATCAATATTGTGCGTTTGGTCTGTTTTTGTATATATTTTATAACCTGATCAAAATTTAAAATGTATACTGTTTTCCCATAAAAAATAAATATATATATATATATATATATATATATATATATATATATATTTCCATATGCTTAATACGGCCCGTCAAAAACGTGTAAATTTCTTTTCATTCTTTGTTTCAACTTTTGGAAGTAAAGTCTGATGATCCGTGAGTCCTTTAAAAGGGCTGTGATGAAATAATTTATTACATGGAACCTTAAAAGTGGTCTGTTTTTTATTCAAATTATATATTATATATATATATATATATATATATATATATATATATATATATTTGGGTGGATTGATGTGAATTTGTGACCCTGGGTTCACGCTTTTGTGATTGTCAGGCGATCGCAAAAGTGAAACCCTGAGTCACAAACTCATATCAATCCACCCAAATATGTTAACTCTATCTCTGATATTTAGCGCTTTCTAATAAGTACTGTGCATATAATATATAAATAATAATATATATAATATATTACACACACTTTTCACATTATATATATATATATATATATATATATATATATATATATATATATTATACACACACTTCCTTATACCTTTTCTACAAATATTTTCATTGTTCCGATAAGCTTTCCTCTTTGGTATCTTGACTTTACAAATTTAAATGCAGTACTAGATTGGCTGTAAGGTCTCATCATTTTACAATTGAAAGACATCTAACTGTTCATGGCAACTGCTCTAATGAGGTATTTTCACTGGTGCTTTAACTAAATTTAAGCAGTGCTACTAGGTTGGCATCTTGGTCCCACCTTTTTACTGTCAAAATAGTTAAATGTAACCACCTCTTCTACTCCAACAACCTCTTCTCTTGCACTTCCCAACAGTGGAACTCCCTTGCTCTTGCTTCCCTGATAGCTATAATCTTCAAATATTCAAATATAATGTCAATCAAAATCTTCTGATGCCTTGATCCCTGTCATTCTCTTTATTCTTTCCTCAAACACTCCTCTTTACCCTTATTTTCACTCTCTGTAACCCCCTTGCATGATAGTGGCACTCCTGCCTTGCTTGGGATGACATGCTTAGAAAAAAAAACGAAAAAGTTCTATGCTAATAGAGCCAACCTGTGGCATGCACTGCTGAATGGGCCTTAGTTATAATATTCATGAGAAGTTGAATAAGTCCAGTATGCTCAAATCCTTGGTCACAATGGCTTGTGACTTAGTGATAGCACAACCATCCAGTTTTACTTGCAAGGCTTGGGTTAACCTATGGAATTTTTTTTTCCTGTAAGCAGGATATGATTCTGTGTTTATCAAGTCTTGAGGTGAACTCATTTCACAAAAAAAAAACAAAAAAAAATGATTATCATTCCTCAGAGATCAAATGAGGGCAAAAAATAAATTTGTTTACAAATATTAAAATTAGGGAGGAGGAAAAAAAATTATTCATTTTTCTGTTTCCTTTTCATACATGTGAGACCATTGTTCCAAAAGCCATTTTGAATGAGATATTATCCCAATAATCTTTTTTTTTTGGTTGATTTGTTACATAGCTTTAGTTCTGAAAGGGTAAGTTTATAAACAAAGGAACAAGAATAAAACAGTTAATGCTGTTTAATATTTTATGATAGGAGGTTTATTGTAGCCTAATAAAAATGGTTTAAAGAAAATAAAACAATAAAGACCCTACCTGACGTAATCGGTTGGACAGAAAGACGAGCAGCTGTGAACAAGGCTAAGTTCTTCAATGGTCCGTCACTTTGTTTGTGCTTCAAATAAAGTGCTTTCAATTCAGACAAAGGGATGAAACGTTTTAACATACGTTCAAATTTTACATCTACCATGTACCATCGAGGATTTTTGGGATCAGACAACCTGATGAAAAAAAAAAAAAAAAAAATGTAACATGGAGGTATCAATAATACTCAGGCTGATTTTTAATACTTGATACATTGTTTATTTTTTTTTTTTTTAATTATTTCACGACAAGTAAGTCAATAAAACCACTAAGATGCAACAAGTGTGAGAAAAACAAGAGAAAAACAAAAGAAAAACACTATTAAGGAGAGAGAATAATAAAAGAACAGAAGAATACAAAGATAATGATTGACATTGAATCTAAATTTTTGAAAATCAAAGTTTACAAGGAAGTAAGAAGCAGGAAGAGAGTTCCACAAGTGAGAAGTACAATAGAAGAAACTGTTAGCATAGAATATACAGTTACATCTTGCCATTTCAACTGTAAAATGATGAGACCTTGACACCAATGTAGTACTACAAGTAAATTCATAAAGTCTAGGTACCATAGAGGAAAAGTTCATCAAAACAATTACCATAACAGAAAGTAATTTTTAGAAAAGGTACAGGAAAGTGACTGAAGTTGAGATGCCAGGTCAGAACAAATAACATGAACTGGGTATATGTAAGGTTTAAAATGAATTTTTAAAAATGAAAAATCTTTCCTGTAAGTTTTCAGTTTAGCTTTAAATGAAAGCTAAAGGATTAAATTTACTATATCTGGTAAGCAAAATACTTTGGTGTATTTCAGACAGAAATTATATTGATTGGAATAGACTTGCATTTTTTTTCAGTAAAATCGATAATGTCAGCCATTTTTTGTAAACAAAACTTAATTTTCCTTTTTAAAAATCATGCAAAAATAAAATCTATATTTCTGAAACGTTGAGGAAAATTAACAAATTTAAAGTTTAAGTTAATCTGATTTGAAACAAATATTACTTACTTATAGCATAAAATGTTGTATACAAGCATTTCCTAACTACAGGGTCATTTTTTGCTGATGTGTTAATTGATTTATTGACAGTGGATTGACCACCAAATGTGTTCATAGTTAATTATGCTGTAGCAGATGAAAAATTTCATTAGGATTTTTTTTCCATAAGTGGGGACAACCCTTAAAACACATGACCTTTTAAGAATAGATTTATCAGTTTGTACATCCATACTTCAGAAATTCTGCATCGATATACATATATAAAAACAAATTGAAATTCTTTTAAAAATAGTTGGGGTTTTCAGATTGTAATAAGCTTTAAAATATGATTAGTAATTATAGTTTTACTTAACAATATTCTTTAAAAATTATCTCATGTAAATTGAACTTTAAAAGATTCAAAAAACTTTATAAATTATTCAAAAAATTGTAAAAAACGAAAAATCTTGTAAAAATTCATTTTTCATTGAAATTTTTTTTTTTCTTCAAACAATATTGTTTTTAATATATATTATTTATAAAAGCAATTAAAAACTTCTTTAATTGAGTAATGGCTATAGATATAATTGTAAGTTGAAATGGCTAAATATAATTGTAAGTTCTATGCTAACAGTTTCTTCTATTAGTCTTCTTGTTTTATTGGGTTTTTCATTTTTTGATTCAGAACAGATTTTTCATAAGACCAGGCTTAATTTTGCCAAAAAAATCCAGTGATTTAAATTCTTCAAAAAATTCTGCTTTTAACTAATACAGTTACTAAAAATTACCTTGATAAAGTTCTCAAGCTTTCATAAAATTAAGTAAGGGGGAGAAACACATGCAAAATAAAAAATATTTTTACCAAGATTTTCTAATAAAAAAAAATGTCAAAAATTATTTCATTTGTTTGTGAATGAATAAGTTCTGAAAATTTAATTAAAATCCAACAATTATTTGATTTTTGCAAGAATTTCCAAATTAATGTTTGTCTGCCACTGCAAAAAGGATGCGAAAATTTGCTATGCTAAAAGTTAGTACAACTGTTGACTCAGTTTTTTTTTTTTTTAATCAAAATTTCAAATGTTCTAAAAAAGAAGTAAAAAATTTAATTAAATAATCAAAAAATAATTTGATCCTCCCTCTTAATAATAACAATGATTTTGAAGATAAAACTGTTTTTCATTTGAAGCATATTTTCATCATAGTATGCTGATTTCTTAGTGATCTCGTGAAGGTACCTACATTACAGGAACACTTTTTGTCATGATGTAAAACAGTAATTTCTATATAATTTATTCATAATCTGATATTTTTATTATTAAACTTTATGAATTTAAGCATACTATTAAATTAGTGGCAAGATCTCACCATTTTACAGTTGAAATGGCTATAGATATAATTGTAAGTTGAAATGGCTAAATATAATTGTAAGTTCTATGCTAACAGTTTCTTCTATTAGTCTTCTTGTTTATGGCTTTTCCAGCCAACTTTGATCTTCAAAAATTTAAATGCAATGTCAATCAAGACAATTTTTTTTGCAAGAATCTATCTTATACATTATAAGTCTATCATTTATCCATGCACTGAATATTGCTGCTATATCTGGTCTGGTGCTTCTGCTTTGTTGATATTCTTGATAAAATCCAAAGAAGAATTTGCAATGTTACTGGTCCTGACCTGGCACCTTGGCCTCAGTTACTTTCATACTGCCATAATGTAGTTTTCCTGTGCCCTTTTCTATAGATATTTTCTTGGTAATTTTTCTGATGAACTCTCCATGGTACCTACACTTTATGAATTTAACTACATTACTAGATTGGCAGCAAGGTCTCATCATTTTACATTTGGAATGGCTACATGGAACTGTAAGTTCTATGCTAACAGTTTCTTGCCACATTTTTCTCATGTATAGAACTCTTTCCCAGTTTCTTGTTTTCCAGTTAACTTTGGTCTCCAAAAATTTAAATGCAATGACAATCATTATCTTATGTCTTCTTAATTCCTGTTCTTTTAATGTTCTCTTTCCTAAATAGTTTTCTTTTTCTCATATTCTCTCACACTCAGTAATCCCTTGTGTCTTAGTGGCTTTATTGCCTTGCTTGGGGTGAAATGATTACAAAAAAGAAGAAATCAACAGGTTTGGCAAAAGTGATATAAACAGCCAAGAATTTGAACCAGTTCTATTTTCCAATTTACTTCTGTTGAATACATTAATTCAGAGTTCTAGAAATTTAAGATGCATAACACTGATTGTAAATTGTAGATATTTTGACACCAAATTTAAACTGACATTTTATTCGCATGACAAATGTTAAAAGATTTATCCTGGTTCCTGCCTACAAATATAACAAAGTTTCATTGGGAGTGTTAACAAATTTCAGTATTCATATTTAATCACTCTGATGACAGTTGAACTTTCTCAAAACCAGCCTGTATGTTTATAAACACATTTCCCTTTCTACCAAAAATGGCAAACAAGAAAAAAAAGGAATATTTCATTTAAATTTTCAGCCGGAAAGGTTTGTGACACCTACTAGGACGTTCTGAGGTTGACTCTTGGTCACGGCCATCAATACGCGACCTGGTCAATCAGCGGTTGTCGCTATCTGGCAGGATTCTTTGGTCAGGGTACCAAATGGGATGGTTGGTTGATTGTAACGGCACAAATACATAATGGCTTGATGCCAGAAGCAACCAGTTCGACACCAGCTCCGTCATTCCCAGCTCACTTCCAATGACTGGTTACCGAAGTAACTACTTCAATCTCAAGTCCAACCTACCCACGTTGTGATTTTGATCATAGGTAGATGAAATCAATCAGACACTGGGGCTGTTATGCAAGGTGAGTCTAAACTGGATGTCACACAAATAAAAGAATAAATGAAAACCAAAAAGGTTTGGGTATGTTTAAAGAAAGCAAATCAACTTTTATCAGTCTATTATATACAGGAGTGTTTTCTTACCAACCAGTTTCTTCTGAGAGTGACACTTTATACTTCTAGGCAAGTTCTGGTCTTCTAACTGGTTTAGTTTTTTGGCGTTGACTTAGTTTTGTTCATCACTGTTTGTAGGAAGGTCAAGTTGGAGGTTCTTGTGTCAGTAGGAATCGTGGAATCGTCAGCTCTGTGCAGCAACTCATAGCTCTCTCCAACTGCAACTGACTAGTGAACTGTCCGAGGGCACCTGCTTATATGGACTTCAACCAAAATCCATTGGGGTTAGATGCAGCCTGGGGTTTTTTGGAGAATCCCTGATTTCCAACGAGAGTCCCTTCATTGTCTGGCCAGGAAAATTAATTACTTCCTATTTCTGGGAGGATCTCTTTATCCATGAGAGGAGGTTGCAGGATAGCTATCCTCTTAAACTGTCCTCCTCACCTCATATCAATTCCTTTTCGGTGGGTGTTAGTAACCTCTCTGCTTGTCACTACTGCTACCACATGACCAATAGTGTCTCAGTCGTGCCGACATGGCTAAGCTTGCTTCATTAATTAACTCTTTGACACCTCTGCTTATTCAAGATTTCTCATCCCTTTCCCAGATCATGAGCAGCTAGAATTAACAATTGGAATTTTGTTTACACAAATCCTTTTTTGCGCCCTGCCAAAATTCCTACAATTAACATATGGCCTTCTTGTCTGGCCATTTCCTTGGGCACATTACCTGTTTACACAATATCTATTCTCTGCACTCTTGAACGATAGATCACATCTTCATCAATCCTGCTTATTTCACATGTACTGAATCAACAGTTCCCAGTGTCCGTTATTAATCACCGTCAATTCAGCCACATTTACTTTCATAACTTGAGAATCCGTCGTTTCCAGCATCATGTTTATTTGTCCGTCTCCTTGCCAGATCGTAAAGTCCTTGTCTCTACAGGCTCTCATTATTAATTAGTTTATCCTTGCCAGATTGCAAAAATTATCTTTTCCACATTTCTCGTTTTAATAATTTAGCTTCTTTCTTAAAATTAAAACTTTTGTAGTTTTCTCGGTATGTTTGTCTGTATATCTTTTAACCACTCTTTTCTGTTTACAGCATTTTCCAGTTCAATTCTATGACTAATTAATTAATCAATTACCATAGCTAAATAGTCACAGGTTACTCAAATTCAGTAGTTGTTATTACTTTTTCTAGTACTGATTTGGTCATCCTAAACT